ATTCTGTGATCCTGTTATTTCTGTGATTCTATTAATCTGTGATTCCGTGATTCTCTGATTCTGTGATTCTGTGAATTCTGTAATTCTGTTAATTCTGTTAATCTGTTAATCTGTTAATCTGCGATTCTGTGAATTCTGTGATCCTGTTATTTCTGTGATTCTATTAATCTGTGATTCCGTGATTCTCTGATTCTGTGAATTCTGTAATTCTGTGAATTCTGTGAATTCTGTTAATCTGTTAATCTGTGATTCTGTGATTGATTCTGTGATTCTGTGAATTCTGTTATTTCTGTGATTCTGTTCATCTGTTCATCTGTGATCCTGTGAATTCTGTGATTCTGTGAATTATGCGAATTTAATCTGTGATGCTGTGATGCTGTTCATGTGTTCATGTGTTCACGTGTTCACGTGTTCCTGTGTTCACGTGTGACGCTGTCCCGGGGTCTGTGTGCCCACGCATGACGGGGCTCCTGGGTGAACCCAGCTCCCTGCCCCGTGTTCATGTGTTCACGTGTTCACATGTTCACGTGTTCACGTGTTCATGTGTTCATGTGTTCATGTGTTCCTGTGTTCACGTGTGACGCTGTCCCGGGGCTCCTGGGTGAACCCAGCTCCCTGCCCCGTGTTCATGTGTTCACGTGTTCACATGTTCACGTGTTCATGTGTTCCTGTGTTCATGTGTTCCTGTGTTCACATGTTCATGTGTTCACGTGTTCATGTGTTCATGTGTTCCTGTGTTCACGTGTGACGCTGTCCCGGGAGGTGCCCTGAGGGAACATCAATTTTCTATATTATTTATTGTTTAGAGGTTCTTTTTACATTTTATACGTTTATCTATATTATTTATTATTTATATATTATTTTATATATTATTTCTATTTTTACATATATCTAATTTTTTATATTGCTATATATTTATTTTTTTCTACAGTATTTCTTCTGAATTAACTTTCTCAAATTATTCTAACATACTGCACTTCGTAATCTCTGTTTAAATTACTGTGTACTCATTGGCTTTGTATATATTATTTCTTCTATATTAACTTTTGCAAATTATTTTAATTTTGTCCAGTTTGTAATCTCTTTTTAAATCATGTATAATATTAACTCTATATTAACTTTATACATTGCTTATTTATATAGTATATATTTTATAAATAAATATTATATAATATATAATGTATAATGTATAATATATAATATATAATATATAATATATAATATATTATATATTATATATTATATATTATATATTATACTATTTTATATATTATTTATATATATCATTTATTTATATATTCTTTATATATTTTATATGTTACCTTTATATACTATTCTATATTATTACATATATTATATAATTTATCTTTTATTTATCCTACATTAACTTTATAGATTATTTATTTATCTATTGCATATTTTATGTGTCATTATATCATATATTATATATAATTTATGTATTATATTTTATATATTATTTATATCTTCTTTATTCTTTATATATTCTTTATATATATTACATTTATATATTATTATATACAATTCTATCTTTTTATATATTATTTATTCTGTATTAACTTTTGCAAATTATTCTGTATTAACTTTTGCAGATCTTTTTCTAAGGACTTTTGGCAGAGCAGAATTTGTCAGCCTTTTATGGCCAATACCCTAATCCCCGTGTGGATTGTATATTTTAATATGATAATTATTATTATTATTATATTTAATATTTCCATTACATTTATTTCTATATTTACTATTACTATTATATTTACTATCTTGTTTCTTTTAGTATGATAAATATATAGTTACTATTTAGTATAATAATTATTTATATATATAATATTTCTATAATAAATATAAAAATATTTATTATTACTTTTAAATAATATATATTTTTATAGATAGATATATTAGCTGAAACTCTAATAATTTTAAATTTTGCTTTCACAAAACATTAAAGCAGAAGCTGCGTGCTGTGTGCCATAACATTAATTTTTGCAGCAGCAATTGTAGTTATGAATTAATAACTAATATTTTTATTTTTATAACTAACTGACCCTAGAATAGCTCGGATCAGTTTGTGAAAATAACTAAAACTCGCTGTAAGATTAAATAACATTTAAAAACCTCACAGATAATATGGGAAAAAAGATGTAAAGGAGATTTCTGCCACTGACCCTTGGGCTAGCAACAACTCCTCACTCGTTGTTGCGAAGAATTGATATAAACATTGTGAAAATAACACAAAATTGGGAAAAAAATGCACAAAATTGGGAAAAAATAGCCCAAAATTGGGAAAAAATAGCCCAAAATTGGGAAAAAATGCCATTCACCGCTCCCAAAAATCAAATATTTTCTATTGCACGACAGGTCAGGGGTGGAACCGTGTAAAAGGACTAAAATAAATGTTTAAATATGTATCCTCTTCCTAAATATGTGTGTAATTAATGCAATAAAAATGAAAATAAATATAGAAAAATCAGTCTGGAAATCATGGAAATAAATGTAGAGATATAGAAATAAATAATAGGAATAGAGGTAGAAATATGGAAATAGAGAAATAAATAATAGAATTATAGAAATTAATAATAGAAATAAAGGTAGAAGTGTAGATATAAATATAGAAATGTGGAAATAAATAATAGAAATAAATGCAGAAATATCGAAATAAATATAGAAATAAATACTAGAAATAAATGTAGAAATATATACATATATAAATAAATAATAGAATTATATAAATAAATAATAGAAATAAATGCATAAATATAGAAATAAATATAGAAATAGATGTAGAAATATAGAAATAACTAATAGAAATTAATCTAGAAGTATAGAAATAAATAGAGAAATATAGAAATAGATGTAGAAATATAGAAATAAATACATAAATATAGAAATAAATGTAGAAATATAGAAATAACTAATAGAAATAACTAATAGAAATATGGAAATAGATGTAGAAATATAGAAATAAGGAATAGAAATTAATCTAGAAATATAGCAATAAAGGTAGAAATATAGAAATGAATATAGAAATATAGAAATAGATGTAGAAATATAGAAATAACGAATAGAAATTAATCTAGAAATATAGCAATAAAGGT